AAAGATGTTTGACGTGATCATGGAGACCATCGACCTGGACCTGCCCGCCTTCATGGGGACGCTCTTCAGCTACGCAGCCAACCCGGGCCTCATCATTCCAGCTGTGCTACTCATGGTGTGAGTGTGGAGGAGACACAGCATCACACACACACACACACACACATGCAAGTTTACAGATTGTTTGATTGTTTGCAAGTAATAAACGTTTCATCTCTCCTGCACAGACTGGCCATCTACTACCTGAACTCAGTGTCTGAGGCCTACATGAACTCCAACATGGAGCTGAAGAAGAAGATGCAGATGGTAAACACACAATGTAGAAACACGTGGAGGGAGACGATGGAATCACATGGATAAAAATACTGTCGATGTTTAACACATCTGTTCTCCACCTCTCTCTCCTTTCTCCGTCCAGGCTCGGGACGAGGAGAAGAATCGGAGGAACAACACAGACAGCACCAATCAGGTTATGAAAGACCTGGAGGACCTGCTGCCCAACCACTCCCTCGCCCCCCCCGCCCCTCCACCGGAGCCTGGTCAGTCAACTCCGCAAAAACTTCGTCTGACAAGCCTCTGTGAACGGAAACACTGATGTCTAAACATTATTCTCCATCTAAACAGAAAAACCTCCAGAGCCTGAAGCAAAGCCGACCAAGACGAAACCCGGCAAAGCAGTCAACCTGCAGAGAGACGTGGCTCTGGCATCACCCAACCCCAACGCTCAGAGGCCAGTGAGTCGGCCTCCGGGGCCCAGAGGAGCGGGGCCGATGCCGGGGCCAGGCCGGGGCCGCGGGAGAGGGGCCCCTCCGAGATAAGAAAATCCACGGCCCTGCAGGATGTGTTCTGCTTCTGAAATCATCACATCAGGAAAACGTCGTAAAAACCCACAGGAGCAGACTTCAATATGTTTGTTTGATGGACGATAGAGACAGTTTTTCTTATTTAGCTTTGAGCTCATCAAACGCAGGAAACAATGATTGTTCGTGTCCACACTCACTAAACCAAAAGGAAATGTTAAAGCATAATTTCATCCTGTTCTGTTCAGATGATTTGGAGAACATCGGCCTCATGATCTCACCTCAGTTTGTTCCTGTATCGTATGTAAACACAGCGTGGTCACGTCTGACGTCTCGCTGACCTCCAGCTCATCTGAGGCGTTTTTTAAAATTTCTCTCACGTTGACTTTGTGATTTAAGATTCTGACTCTGCAGTAAAGTTTTAAATCTTTTCATCCCTGTCTGTTGGTTTGTTTGCAGGATTACGCAAAAAAACGTCTGAACAGATTTACATGACATTTTTTTTGCATTTTCACGTATTTCCCAGGGATCTTGATGAACAAATATAATCTAAACCTGATGACTACCCACATCAAGTATCTCAGGAGCAAAGACAGAGCGATTACAGAACTTGTTTCTTTCTAAATCCACAAAACAAATATGTATTTCCTCTTTTAAACCCATATCAGTCATGTTTGACCTGCAGTAGTTGCAGCCCAGGAGAAAAATGTGGCTCAGTCGTGTCGAGTCAGTATTTATGTGAGTTTACTCCACCAGAGGTTTTAAATCATGAGCCACAGTCGCCTTTATCTCAACTGACACTGTTTGCTGTGTTTCTGAGAGAATAATAAGTAGTTTGGCCACAGGGTGAATCACCTGCACATTTCCATCACATGTCACCCAACCAGTCAGATGTGTCCAAGCCTCAGACCCGTCAACCTGCAGGAATGTCGAGAGCTGGCAGACGATTGGCTGGTTCACGCCTGCAGGTGTAAAATGAACCTGCCTCAAAATCACCTGCACAGAATTGGGTGGAGACGCTGCAGAGCGAGTTTTAAACTGATCCGTGAGGACGATCTCCAGCTGCAGGGTGAGGCTCTCTGATTTTTCAAACACGAAAATAGAGACTGTTTTAAATCACCTTAACCTCCTGTTTGTCCTCCCAGCTGAGTAAAGATGTCCATCTTCAAGAGGTTCTTCAAAGATATCATCCACGACAGGAACCCTGACAAGGACACCGTCAAAGTGAGTGAAACATCCCCTGTGGGAACAAGCAGACACGAGGAGGCCTGTTTTAAGGAATACTGTGGAAGTCTCGACACTGTCTCTGACTCGTGATGAAACTGGCGTTTTTGAATTCCTGATGTTCTGCAGCTGAATGTTGCTGCATGTTGTTTCAGGTGAAGGGTAAACCCAAGCCTAAGTATTATGGAACAGTCACTCCGTATCCGAACTTCAGTGCCAGCAGCGACGCCTCAGTTCTCAACAGTGCCATTGAGAGTAAAGGTGGGTGTGTTGGTTTTTTCTGTGTGTAGTTTAAAAACTGGTCTTCTTTCCTTTGTGATGTTTTTATGCTTCTAATCTGCTTCTTTATTCCTCTAAAGCAAACTGAATGACGTCTCTGTATGATAATGAAATGTACAAACTCATTTGTCCGTTGCAGGAGTGGATGAGGATGTGATCATTGCCGTCCTGGTGAGGAGGAACAACGAGCAGAGGCAGAAGATCCAGGCTGTTTATGAAGCGTCCACTGGGAATGTGAGAAATTTACTGTTTCCATTATATTACCATTATTCAAACCATTCATTTAGTTACAGAAACAAACTTTGCATTTATAGATTTGCAACTCAAACAGGCTCCCTCAAAAAGTCCACTGCATTAGAATTAAAGCTGCAAATGCAATTTTCATTTTTTCACTTTCACACTTATTTCAGTTTCAAGCATGACTGTACTACTTTGGAGGGAAATAATAAAATCCTCCTCTTATAAACGAGCATTCAAATTCATACATTATAAAACAGTTACGCCCAGCTACAACATTAACGGTGGATATTCCTCATTCTTGATCATTTAAACGTTTCCTGGCTGAATATTTGGAGATATCTTAACGACGTCTTTTTAACTGATCTACAGTTCAGCTTTACTCACATTTTAATGATCGACCGTCCCCTCACGTCTTCATCTGTTGCAGAAGCTGGATAAAGCTCTGAAGTCGGCTCTCCGCTCAGATCTGGAGGACGTTTCTCTGGCTCTGCTCATGACGCCGGCTCAGTTTGACGCCTACCTGATCAGGAAGGCCACAAAGGTAAAGATCAGGGGGCAGGAGAATATTTCAAACATTCAAACAGTGAATTCTTCTCTGATTTGACTTCACGAGTGACGGCGACTGTATAAGTTCTGTTACTAATATTTTGAATTATTGTACGAAGCTTAAGATCCTATAAAAAACACGTTTTTAAAATGTCCTCTCCTCCTTCTGGTTTTCCATCAGAGGTTTGGGACAGATGAGGACGTCCTGGTGGAGGTTCTGGCGACGAGGTCAAACCAAGAGATTCGAGAGCTCAAGAGTGTTTTTAAAGCAGGTTCGATGTTTGTTTCAGTTGGTCCTGAAAGCTTTTCACATATCATGTAACACGTTCCTGACACACAGTGTAATAAGACTGAATTCCCAGACTGTGCGTCTCTGTAATCGCCCGCTTGTTATCACTGACAACAGCCACTGTGGTTGTGTCATTATTTTCCTGCAGAGTTTGTTGTTCTTTGTGCTGAAACGCTGCTGTTCCCTCAGAGTACGGAGAAGAGCTGGAAGACGTTATTAAAGACGAGACCAGCGGCGACTTCACCGAGGCTCTTCTGGCCATGTTGAGAGCAAACAAAGACGAGAGCAATGAAGTCAACATGGGGCTGGCCGAAGAGGACGCAGAGGTGAAACAACAAATACCCTGAAGACACAAACCAAAAGTTCTCTCCGACGTCTCTGTTCTGTCTGCAGAGATTTCACAATGAAAACACACAAATGAGGGCGTGGCTTTGAACCAACTAAAGTGTGTGTGTTTGTGGTGATGAAGGAAACTGTCATTCGGAGGTTAAGAAGTTGACTGTGACTGATTCTCTGTGCAGACTCTGTTTGAAGCCGGTGAAAACACCAAAGGAATCAACGTGTCCTCCTTCATCGAAATCCTGACCACGAGGAACGGGCCGCAGCTCTCCAAGAGTGAGTGTTTGAAACGCTTCAGCTGGTTTCACTCATCAACACAACACAACACACACACACACACACACACACACATCTGGACGAACCGGTGGAACCTCTCTCATCCATGTCACAGGTGGAACACACCCAGCAGTGTAAGAAGATTCTTACCTTCACCGAGGATGTGATGTTTCTTGAGTTCAACTTTTTAAAAATTCCTCCAGTTAGTCTGTGGTTTGCTCATTTTATGGGGGAAATTAAAATTGTTATTATATTTCTTCAATCATTCTCACACATTTCACACGTCAAGCTGAATAAAGTACAAATTAATAAGTATATGAATCAAGACAACGACCTGGATGTCCTGAACACAGCTTCACATCTGGTTCTCCTCTGTTTAAAGCTGTTGTTGCACTTCAACAATTTCCACAACAACCACCTTCTGACTGTAAAACTGTTGTTTGTCATCTTTTGTATTTGAGACGTCTGCACGCATCCCTTCATCTCAGCTAAAGACTGTTTTTGAAACACTTGTTTGAAGACACATCTGGTTTCTGTGTCACATCTGCAGCATTTACACATAAACACGTGTTTGTGTGTTTACCCGTTAGCGTTCGAGGAGTACGCCTCTGTCAGTGACCTCTCCCTCCCTAAGGCCCTGTTGTTGGAGCTGAAAGGAGACATCGAAGACTGTCTCATTGACATCGGTAAGAATGACACCATCACATCTTTGCTGACGTGAACATGCGTCACTGAGGGACTCGAGCAGAGACTTCCCATTGGTCCACTGCGCCGCGTGTGTCTGATCACTTTATGTCTGTGTCTCTGACGTTCAGTGAAATGTGCCTGGAACAAACCGGCGTTCTTCGCTGAGAAGCTCCACAAGGCCATGGAGGTGTGTATGAACGTGTCCCCTCTGTCATGACCAACATAGTGTGTAGTCGACGTGTAGTCGACGTGTTCATACCTGGAGGTTCTGCTCTGTCGTCTCAGGGCCACGGCACATGTGAGGACACTCTGATCAGGGTGCTGGTCAGTCGCTCCGAGATCGACCTGAAGAAGATTGTGGAGGAATACAGGGCCATGTACAACATCAGCCTACAGGAACATATACTGGTCAGAAGACATGAAGAATCACGTTTTTACTGAACGTTTTTAATTTTTCACTTTCAAACTTATTAAAGTGAAGAAAAGTATTTTTCAGTGTGTTTCATCTGACCACACTTTGTTTTACAGAATGACACTAAGGGACATTATCAGAAGGTTCTGCTGGGACTGTGTGGACCTCACTGAACTGAGTCTGCTCTGGAGATCAAGGCTGTCGTGTCGTCTGGAGGCCAGCGTCTGAAGACGAATAAATATCATTGACAAAATTGTCTTTCCGAGTTGATCGAAATAAAACAAAAATATAACTGCTTTGTGTTCTCTGACTTAAAAAAAACACATTTATAAAATCAATATCTATAAATAAGTTCATGTTCTCCGAAGGATTTGTTTTTCTTCTAGGATTAAATTGTGGTGACCGGTTTTAAATAGATAAAAAGATACAGAGATCCCAGAACAGGGGAGGGAAGTAACAAAGTACAAATACTTCCAGTTTTTAAGTAGATCTGTACTTTACTTGAGTATTTGTTTTTTTTTAAAACACGCTCATTACTTTTGATTTAACGCATTTGGGGGAAATTATCGTGTTGATATTTTGCATCATCGATCACTGCCTTCCAAAATTTAAAGTCTCTTCTTAGAGTTTATGAAGAATTCAAGTGAAACTGAAAGATTTAAAATTGAATTTCCTTCGGGATCAATCTATTATTGATTTGTTGTATTTTTTACTCTTATTATTTATCATCATTATTATTTCAGATCATTTGATTCGAACATAATTTATTCTTTGACTTGATGTTTTCAAGTTTTCAATTATAAATAAATAAATAAATAAATAAGAATGGGAAACCATCCACTTCCGGTCTGCGCAGAGCCTCTACTGCGCACGAGTGACGTTTTTTACGTGACGTGGACGTCTGACGTGTCCGGAAGTGCCGCGGAGCTGCTTGTTTTCTTTCTACTTCCCGGTCTTCATCGTTTCTTCATCGTTTCTTCATCGTTTCTTCGTCCTCAGATCAGACTTCCAGTGAAGACATTTCTCTTTTTACGCGTGTGTTTGTTTGAACTTCTCACTGAGGACGTGACGCAGCGAGAAACTCCGGATGAAAAATCTAACCTGGCTTCCCCAGATGCCCTAGCTAGCTAACAGGCTAACAGGCTACCAGCTGCTGTGTGTGTGTTTACAACTCGTTCAGAAGAGATTCAGTGAAGCAGCAGGATGTGTGGGAGCCGGGGGCAGCACGTGTCTGCTCTCCGGCTGTAAACAGGTTCACTTTCACCGTCCAGGCAGCGGAGATGATCAGGTAACGGAGACAGAATCTGCAGGTCGAGGCTGGAGGCTTCAACATGGAGGAGAAATACAGCAGCAACGTGCTCTCAGGAGGGAAACTGGGAATGGTCGAGGTGCCCAACTCCAGGTTTGTCTCAGTTTTACTGTCAGCACATTAGTGCGAGTGTTAATTCTAGAATATGTGATTTTAAGTCAAGACAGGTCAGACGGATGGTGTGTCTCTGAAGTGCAATACTTACAATACATCTAAGTATTCTTACACCTGAGTGTTATTACTAACTTCTTGCTGCTGTAAAATTGCAAATGTCCCCACTGTGGGACTAATGAAGTTTTATCTTATCTTATCTTATTTTTGAACACACACACACACACACCAGCGTTGGTGTTTTGCACGTTCTTCTTCATGCACTGATCACTCACTGCTGTTCCACGACACTGTAAAGAGTAACTTCAGATAAGTAACTGCACCTCATGAAAACAACCACGAGACCAAGTCTGATGACATTATACACTTACTTTTGTAAAAATAAAGGTTTTACGGTGATGATCATAATGTTGTTATATTTAATTTTGAGGAGGATAGCAGATTGTAGATAAGTAATCCTTCATACATCCTCTTCTATATCGTTTTCTCCTCAGGTTAACCAGGTACATTGTTCTACTAGTCGTCTCGAAGGTCCTCAAGGCTCTTGGGATCTTTGAATCGTACGATATCCTTAAAGTTGTTCACATCGTCCAGTTCATCTTCATACTAAAATTAGGGTGAGTAATCCTGAGCGTACTACTCGCTGACTTTTAATTCCAAGGACTTTGTATTTTTCAATAACGACAAGAGAGTTTTCTCTTTTGCAGGAGCGCTGTAGTTCTACTCTTCTTTCAAAAGCCTTTCTCCTCTGGTAAAGTCATTTCAAGAAGACAGGTGTGTTCAATTTCAACTTCTGTCCACCAACTGTCCATCATGCAACATAACCAGGACCTACATGTGTAAATCTTAAATATCGTCAGTATTGTTTTAATAAATGTTAACGCTGATCCTTTGTATTAATGCCTCTGAATGTTTTCTTTGTAGTGGATAAAGTTACTGAAGCATGCTGTTTTCAGCTGTGTCATCTCTCTCCTGGGATTCTTTGGTCTGACTCTCTGTGGACCTCTAAGGTGAATTATTTTCATTCTAACATTAACTTGTTTTTTGTCACAGTGGTTAAAACATAAATTCTGTTGGTGTAACCACAGTTGGTGCTTTTAGTTTGAACTGTCGGTGAGTCCTGGTATGTGCGTGTTAATTAAATCCTGGCTTCCACAGGACACTGCTGCTTTTTGAGCACAGTGATGCGGTGGTCATTGCTCTTCTTGGCGTCCTGTTCACCAGCTCAGGGGGGGGACCGTCTAAGGTAAGAGGACACAGAAACTATTACCCTTAAACCTACGTCCCTCTCAGGTATATTTTCTTTCCTTCTCTAAATTTCTTTTGGTTTGTATTCTCCCTGCACAGACCAGAGGTGCTGCCCTCTTCATCATCGCGGTTATCTGCCTCTTCCTCTTTGACAACGATGATCTCATGGCAAAGATGGCTGAGCACCGTATCCTTTGTGCCTCGTAAACGGCAACATCAGTTTTCACTGTTTATCGACCTGACCGGATTGTGTTGTGCGTTATCATACGTCACTGATTGTGTTGAGTTTACCTTGACTCGTTTTCTTGAAGCTGAGGGACATCATGACAGCGCGCTCACTCATTTCCTCTACACCGCCATCGCGTTTTTAGGGGTTGCGGATCACAAAGTAAGCGAGGCTCATTCCCTTAATACATCCTAAAGGGAAGCAGAGTAAACCGTTAGCTTTCATTCCTGTTAATTGTCCTTTCATCCTGTCAGGGAGGCGTGGTGCTGCTGGTGGCCTCCCTGTGTCTGAAGGTGGGCTTTCACACAGCCTCCAGGAAGTTATCAGTGGAATTAGGTGGTGCAAAACGCCTGTATGCCCTTGACAACCTGGTGTCATCCATGGTTCTGCTGCCCTGGGTCATCGTGCTCTCAGCGACCACAGAAGTATGTGCAAAGACAATATCTGTTGCCTTTTCCTTAATCCCCCTTTTTAAATTCTGATAAATGTTCTCCTCTTCCTGTGTTTTCGCTCTGTCTCAACTCCAGAGCAAAGTAGATTCGTGGTCGTCCCTCATCCTTCCTTTCGGGATGATCATCTTCTCTGTGATGATCCTGGAGTTTTACGTCGAGGCCGTCTGCAGCGCGAAGATGGAGACGCCCAGATGTGCCCGCTACGGCACCATCGCCCTCTTCCTCAGCGCCCTGCTGCTCGCCAACTTCTGGACCCACCCACTGACGGACCAGCTGCGCTCCATGAGCAAACCGCCGCAGCAGGTCAGCACGGAGCACGTGCTCTCTGGAGGAGTGTTAGTCAGCGCCATCTTCTTCATCATGTGTAAGTAGAAGGGAATCGGCAGCTTGAGTAAATGTTTATCTGTTCTATAGCTGCAGATATCAACCTTGATTTCTCCTCTCTCTCTCTCTCTCTCTCTCTCTCTACAGCGACCAGCATTCTGTCGTCTCCTTCAAAGAAAGGGCAGAAGGGCACCTTGGTGGGTTACTCGCCTGAAGGGACCCCTCTGTACAACTTCATGGGCGACGCCCTGCAGCACACGTCGCAGTCCCTCCCACGGTTCATCAAAGATTCATTGAAACAGATCCTGGAGGAATACGACTCCAGACAAATCTTCTACTTCCTCTGTCTCAACCTGGTACGTGCAGCGTCACACAGAGACGACTCACAACTGAACGAAGGAAGTCTTTCCTGTTGTTTATACTCGTTTTACTCTGATGTTATTTTCTGAGATATATCGCTCTGTACGTTTCAGGCTTTCACCTTCGTGGAGCTGTTTTATGGTGCTTGGACCAACAGTCTGGGGCTGATCTCTGACGGCTTCCACATGCTGTTCGACTGCTCGGCTCTAGTCCTGGGTCTGTTTGCTGCGCTCATGACTCGCTGGAAAGCCACCAGGATTTTCTCTTATGGGTAAAACTCCATTAAGAACATGTGAACGGGCTTCAGTTGGAAATATTGGAACAATTCTAAGCATTTAAAATTCTGCTGTGTTTTTGCACAGGTATGCTCGTGTTGAAATACTTTCTGGATTCATCAACGGTCTGTTCCTCATGGTCATCGCTTTCTTTGTTTTCATGGAGTCGGTCAGTCGTTTGTTGGATCCTCCCAATATAAACACAGACATGCTGACGGTCAGTAAAAAGGCTTGTGACTGAACGTAAACTTGGTTCATCTCGTTGGTCACCTTTCCAAAAATCAAGTTTAAACGAATTTGTTCGAATGTATTTTCTGATTTTCCTGTGTCCTGTAGCCGGTGTCAGTCGGGGGGCTGCTGGTCAACCTGGTGGGCATCTGTGCATTCAGTCACGCTCACTCCCATGGCGGCAAAAGCTGCTCATCGAATGACCACGGCCACTCGCACCATGGCCACTCCCACAGCGAGCACAGCCACGGAGGTCACGGCCACTCCCATGGAGGACACGGGCACGGCGGACACGGCCACGGTGGACACGGGCATGGTGGGCACGGCGGACACGGGCACTCCCATGGCTCGGGGGGCGGAGGCATGAACGCTAACATGAGAGGTGTGTGTTGCACGGGAATGAACCCAATAGAAAGGAAGCAGTGCCAGATGTTTTTATGTTTTTCTTTTTTTATTTGATTCCAGGTGTTTACCTTCACGTCCTCGCTGACACTCTGGGCAGCGTTGGTGTGATCATCTCCACCATCCTCATCCGCCAGTTCGGCTGGTTGATTGCCGACCCCATCTGCTCGCTCTTCATCGCCACGCTCATTTTCCTCAGCGTCATCCCTCTGATCAAGGACGCTTGCGAGGTTCTTCTTTTACGAACTCCCCCGGAGAACGAGAAGGACCTGAACATTGCACTGGAGAAGGTGAGAGGTCACAGACACACACGTTCTCATATTTATTTAATTTTCTATATTACTTTAAACAATTTTACTGATTTCAAACATTTCAAACATTCAAACGCTTGAAATCAGTGGAACGTGATGCTTATTTTGCAGGATTACCACAAACATTATATAATACTGCCATCTAGCTGTCAGGGGTTTAACAACCCGTTTTGAAAGTCTATGTATTTTTGTGTTTTTCCAGGTGGAGAAGGTTGAAGGAGTTGTGTCGTACAGAGACTCTCATTTCTGGAGACATTCGGCCAACGTCATCGCAGGAACCATCCACCTCCAGATCATGGCCGATGTGGTTGAGCAGAGAATCGTACAGCAGGTCTCTCTACCTGTTCTTAGTTTTTACTGTCTCCCATAAAATGTTTAAAGACGTTTTCCATTTAATTTACCTTAAAACTTGCTGTATGAACAGAGAAGGCGGCTCTGATCCCTCCGTTTACTTCCCCTCGTTCACAGGTGACGGCCATTTTGAAAGACGCCGGAGTGAATAATCTGTCGGTGCAGGTGGAGAAGGAGGCGTACTTTCAGCACATGTCTGGACTCAGCACCGGATTTCACGAAGTTCTGGCAATGACGCAGCAGATGGAGTCCATGAAATACCTGAAAGACGGGACGTGCATCATGTGACGTCCGTATGTGGGACCAAATTAAACTTTAATGATTCTTTTGAAATGTACAGTGTAAGTATGTGGTTTGAATAAATCTGAATATATTGGTTTTATCATCTGCCGCCATGTTTGTTTGTGTGCAGCTGCTTTAACATTCAGCAGCTGATTGATTATTATTTGCGTTAGTGTGATTTTCACTTCAACGCTGTGGTGCCTGAAACCTGTATTCTCTGGATCATCCAGCAGATGGTGTTGTAACTGTGTCTTGGCCTCGGCAGTTTGCTATGAAAAGACAAACAAGTCACGTAGAAGAACCGTCTCACTTTATTTGAGCATTAATCTAATGCATATAAATGTGCAGACAAACACAGTTTAACACTCTGTTGATACGGTGCAGAAAGAAATGTCCGCTGTGACACAACTGATATGTTTTGCTCCATGAAAACAGAACTACATGATGAGTTTCACCCAAATTTATTCCTACAAGTTCTGACGGACATGTTGTCGACAACACGCTGAGTCGTCTGTGAGGTGCAAAAACAATGTGTAATACCAGGGTTCATGCATCCTACAGAGCTGATTTCTACTCGATCTCATTGGAGGTTCCCACGGTGGCTTGAATCTCCATCTCTGCAGGGAAATAAAAGAGCGAAGACGCTGCTTAAGATCTTGAAATAAACACTGGTCCATTTTCTGTCTTTGCAGGATGTTTAATCCTGAGGAACAGGTTGGATAAATATTTTTTTTTACCTGGGCAAGGTCCACCTTCCAAGATAATGTCATCAATGGCGATGTCACTCCTTACTGATGGACCCCTGGTTGCTTCAAACACAAGCTGGGATGAGACAAAGAGAAACGATTGTTTAGAGGTTGTTAAGAGGGTTTATGGGACAGACGAACATTTTGTTCCCTCGTTTGCTCTAACGAGAGCAGTGGAAAACAAAACCTCTGCAAAGGCCTGTTAGTGGCAAGATCAGGGGTTCAACAACATGAGAGAGATTTCTTTCTGTTGGCACATTTATGGGAAAACTGACCTAATGCTGGTGGAGACTGGTTCCCTCTGTTGATCAGGACCAACATTCACTTCTCAGTCTGCACGTTAAAGGAGACAATCTCCTCAAATGTCTCCTTTAAAGTTGACAGAGGGTTTAATCACAGAAAACTAATGCAGCTCTTGTTGTGGCTGTGTCTTATTTGAGCCCACAGTTCATTCTGCTAATTCCTCCTCCTCCTCCTCCCCCTGCGCTCTCCCTTCCTCCCTTTTGAGAAACCCGATGAAGTTCTTGCCATCGCTGCGTGTCTTAGCAAGAGGAGATCACAGATGTATCCTGTGCAGACGTTTTTACTGCAATACTGAAGCTGTTCGGTGAGACAGTAAATGGAGCAGTCAGATTACTATGGAACAAGGATTAACAGAGACTTTACGGTCGTTCATCCTATTAGTTCATGAAATCTCTTATAGATGTTTGTGAACTATTCATAAATCTTTAAAATTCTTTTGCAGCTTTGCCCAAATATTTCTTCACAGAAGGTTTCCTGTTCTTTTTTTCTTTTTTTTTATAGATTTGGCTCCAACTTTATCGTCTGATCCAGGAAAAATTTGGTCCGAATATATTTTCAAAACGGCAGCAAAGTTGTAATTCATCCTGTAATATCCGCCCTGAACCAACTACTGTATATCTACACGGTGTAGATTCTGTTTATTCAAAGTGTTTTTCTTTCTCCTTCGACCTCACTGTGTATTTCATTGTGTATTTGTACATTAACCTAATGAAAAGAACCCATCATATCCTCTATCCTCAAGTTCAAGAAAACCCAGTAACAGATTTAAGAGACTAATCTTTGTCAAAGATTGAAAACTGCGTCACCAGTCAAATTCAGCCACGTCTGGTTCTTCAATTTAAAATAAAACAGTTTGGAGAGATTCTGCTCCTCTCTTGCCTGATGCTGGCTGTTGCTCTGATATTCCGCTCTGGCCCTCAGCCAGCCAATGCTCTGCTCGCCTCTTTGTTGCCACAGCAACACGTCCTCTCCGCCCTTGTCGAGGTGCACGCTGAGCTGGCCGGTGCCGGAGCCGTACATGTGGTAGTAGAAGCTCAGACACTGAGGCCCCCTGGAGCCCCTCAGAGGGCGAGAGAGCAGCCGGACCCTCTGGCCGGGCAGCATGTGCGAGGCCTCCAAGTGCAGGTAGTGTCCTGTGAGTCAAAAGTCAACAGGTTGGTGTCATCACAGCTGTGGACATGCAGACTTTTCTTTTTCTGGCAGTGATGGAGGCTGAAGGGAAGGAGACCCTCACCCAGTCCTGTGGTGTGGTCTCCTCTTGGGCCCGTGTACGAGGTCGGGGTGGGTCCTCTCCTCCACTCCCAGTCCGCAGCATCCGTCTGTTTGTCCTGAGTGTATCCACACAGACCGGCCTCGAAGTCACAGTGACCGGGCAGAGGTGACAACAACGAGCCTGCAGCAGCAGGAGGAAAGATATAAGTGGAGGAGGACTTTATTCTGACTGACGCTGAAACAATAAGGTGACAAGAGGTTCTTAAATGATCTTTTTACAGGCCCTGACATGTTGCATGATACACAAGAGGCTCAAATCTTTTTCAGAAAAGCTGAAATGTTTTTAAAACCGTGATGAAGATCTCGAAATATTGACTAAGACCCCTGAGGGCAACAATGAGTAACGTTTGGCTGCATCTCTCTAGACTCGCGTCTTAATCTGATCCAATCTTTTTTTTTATTAAAAGTTTTAAAGTATCAGAATATTTTACTTTTCTAATAAAATTTGAAAATACAGCTCTGGTTCTAAACATGTTGGACACGTTAGTGGGATTCTACTGGACGAATCACATTAAGGATGTGATACAGGACAGGAAAGAACTTTTTGTATTTTATCTTTTATCCGAGTGTGTGTGAGTTGGTGCAGCCTGATTAAATTAAAGGGGAGGTTGGGTGTTGGCGGAGGTGTGAGATCTACTGAGTGACTTCAGTCGTTACCTGTTGCCGTCAGCTCACAGTCTCCGAGCTTCACGCTGATGTCGTCCAGAGCCACTGAGCCACAGTCCCAGAAGTTCCTGCAGGTGCTGACGAAAACCACCTGAAGAGCAGTGAACAGGAAGTGAGACCAAGTGAACCGGAGGAATTTGATCCACTAATCGTTTTCTGATTGGAACTGAAGCCACAGACGCTCTGTTGTGGTTGTTGCTTCCTGCTCACATGAGGAAGGAAAGAGATTCATCGCGTTTTAAAACAAAAGACAAAGAAAAGTCAGTGTCATGAAAGACTTGGAGCACTCTGGCATCGGGTTGATCTTCATCACGAACAACATGTGAGGGTGAGAATGTGTTTTTCTATTTTTTTTAATTTACTTTTTGCGCATGAAGTTTGTTTTTCATCTCTTAAATATTAGATCTTTAAAATGCCTCCTTCCTTTTTAGTATTATTGCATTTTATTGTTCTTCCAGTCATTTAATTATTTCCACATTTCTCCGTTCTTCCTTCACTCTTAGATCATTTGTAAATTCCTCACATCCCTCCTTCCTTCCTTCCTATCCACCTTGCTTTTCTTTCTTTTTTATGTCCTTTCCTCCTCCCCTGCTTTCCCTTTAGTTTCTTCCTCCTTTCCTTTCCTCCTCTGACTGAATTGTATTTCCACTTCCTGTCCTCTGACCTTGGCCGGCTGTGACGTTTGGAAGGTGGCGTCCGTAGCGACCCAGATTCCTCTGGACTTCTCGCCCTGGGTCCAGATCTTCTCCTGGCTGCTGCTGCTGCCGCTCTGCTGCTGCAGATAAACAGCCAGGGCCTGGTCCGTCTGGTTGAAACCTGCCAGAGTTATTTTTGCTCAGTGAGTCAGTCAAATAAATCACAGCCAATGATTCACACACACACACACACACACACACACACACACACACACACACACA